TACTGTGGACATGTTATCAGGAGAGACTCGTCCCTGGAACAGGGGCATCATGCTTGGTAAAGTAGAAGGGCAGCAAAAAAGAGAGAGAGCCTCAACCAGGTGGATGGACACAGCGGCTGCAAACATGGGCTCGGGCACAGGAACGATTGCCAGGCTGGCACAGGACTGGGAGGCTGGTTGGAACTGACTCGATAGCACCCAACAGCAACAACAACACTCCATGTCTAATCCCAGACCTAGCCCCCAAGTGCTGGTTTTGCAGCAACTTTGAACCCTATGTGTGTTCTTCTGTGTGCTTACTGAAATTCACTTTATCAAAGGAAGGTCGGCATTAAAGGTGGTGGTTCTGAGAGTCAAAGCCTTAGCCAGCCAACTAGGTCCTGGTGGGTGATTTGCCCCTAGCAGTTAAGGTTTGCCCCTCTGGGGGGTGGGGGTGGGGGGCGGAGGTCGCAAAGATGGAGGTAAACTTTGTATTCTTGTTTGCAGAGCCCTTGTGATTTGCAGATTACAAAGAAGTGCCCGAAACGATTCTTCCTTGCTTTCAAGAAAAGAAAAAGTGGTTTGCTGAATAGACCAGATTTATTTAGAGATTGACTAATTGCACCTCTAGACACGAATCCTCTTCCCTTTCTATCTTTAAGTTTCTCCCTTCTTTGCTCCTGACCCTCTACTTGCAAGATGCTTGGGAGCGTTAGGGTTGCGGGCCACGGTATGAAACCCGGCTTTTCTCCCAGGCCGGGTGGGTGGGTGGGTGGGCTATGTCGCCACCATCGACCCTCGGTTCTCCCCTTCTTTCCCCCACAAACTCGGGTGAGCCTGGTCCCCCAGCGCCTCCACGATTGGTCCCGGGCCATCATGTGCCCAGTGGCGGGGTGGGTCTTTCTCCGGTTAAACTCATCAATCGCTCCTCTTTGGAGCTGCGCTGGCCAGTGGGTCGGACCCTTGCGCCCATTTCCCCCATCCCACCCACCCTTCCTCTCTTCCTCACCCCTCCACGCCAGTCTTATTTTAGCAAAACCGGGAGGAGGAGGAGGTGGAGGAGGCATTTCTTAGGGAGGACCTGCCTAGGCAATGCAGCACCCAGAAGCAACTACTGAGTCGCTAAGCGAACGGCAGCGCATACCTCTCTCTCTCTAACCGCCCCCCCCCCCCACCTCCGTTGGGAATTTTCAGGATTTCATTGCTGCAATTTACCCCCAAGATGAGGCACCGTTGAGCGGAACGCTGCGCGCACACGCACACGCACCCTCTCCCGAGCCAAAGCGGCAGAGGCGCGGGTGATTCAGGAAAGGGGGGGGGGGCAAAAAAAAAAAGCAAAGACCTGAGGACCCTGCGGCTTCGAGACACCTCAAAAGACCTCCGGAGCGCGTCCCCGCCCCTCCCCCGCATCCGAACCCCGCTCCGATCTTTTCGATCGCCTCGGATTGATTGCTTGGGTGACTTCGAAGCTCTAGGAACTTAAGGCAAACGGGAAAAGGGGATATCATTGGGAGCGTTCCCCTCCCCGCCCGCCACCCCACCCCCCCACCCCCAGCCA